GAGTGTGTGTGTGTTTGTTGTTTCCAGTGTGTGTGTGTGTGTCCAGTGTGTGTGTGTTGTCCGGAGTGTGGTGTTTGTCCAGTGTGTGTGTTGTAGTGTGTGTGTGTCCAGTGTGAGTGTGTGTGTGTTTGTGTCCAGTGTTGTGGTGTGTGTGTGTGTGTCCGTGTGTGTGTTGTTTGTCCGTGTGGTGTGTTTCCAGTGGATGTGTGTGTGTTTGTGTCCAGTGTGTGTGGTGTGTGTCCATTGTGTGTGTTTGTCCGGTGTGTGTTTCCAGTGTGTGTGTGGTGTCCTGTGTGTGTGCCAGTGTGTGTTGTGTGTGTGTGTGTTCCAGTGTGTGTGTGGTTTCCAGTGTGTTGTGTGTGTGTGTGTGTTCCAGTGTGTTTGTGTGTGTCCAGTGTGTGTGTCCAGTGTGTGTGTGTGGCCGCTTGTTGTTCAACGCGTTCCTCCACTGATCCAGCTGGCACCGCCGCTCCTGCTGACTCCATGTGTGGTGTGTGATTCTGTCAGGATAAACGTGTATGCGGTGAACGAAGTCAAGCGCAGGACACCGAGAGACTGGCAGATGTACTTTACTAATAACCGTAATGAAAAGTACAAAACAACAAAACCTCCAAAACAGGGAGGAACAATAATCGCAATACACAGACCTGCCGAAAACAAACGGAGAACAATCACACACAACAAACGAATGACAGACAGGGGTTATACAGGGAAACCATCAACACTAATGGGAAACAGGTGTACACAAAGCAGACCAATCTAGATGATTGCTGAAACCTAGATCGGTGGCAGCTAGTACTCCGGGGACGACGAACGCCGAAGCCTGCCCGAGCAAGGAGGAGGAGCAGCCTCGGCTAAATCTGTGACACACTTTGAATGCACAGAGATACCGTGACGAGATCCTGAGGCCCATCATCTTATGTTTCAGTATGATAATGTACGGCCCCATGTTGCAAGGATCTGTACACAATTCCTGGAAGCGTAAAATGTCCCAGTTCTTCCATTGCCTGCATACTCACCAGACAATCATCATGGAAATGGCGCCGGAGAAGATGGCTGCCGTTTTATAGCCCTCTAACCAATTGTACTATTATGTGTGTTTTTTCGCGTTATTTGTAATTGATTCTGTACATAATGTTGCTGCCATCATCTCTTATGACCAAAAAGAGCTTCTGGATATAAGGACAGCGATTACTCACCTCGTATTGGACAAATATTTTTTCTTCAACGAGTCGGACGCGAAGGATATCCTATAGACACCCGACAAGGCCCAAATCCCCGTCATTCGCAGGAGAAAGAGACTGAGATATCGTGGCGTAGGTTGGGGTGCCTTGTAAGGATCCGACGGCGAGCGAGTAAACTGCCTCTTTCATCAATCCTATTAGCCAATGTTCATTCATTTGAAAACAAATTGGATGACCTAAGATTAAGGTTATCCTACCAATGGGACATTAAAAACTGTAATATCTTATGTTTCACCGAGTCGTGGCTGAACGACGACATGGATAACATACAGCTAGCGGGCTATACGCTACATCGGCAGGATAGAACGGCTGACTACGGTAAGACAAGGGGTGGCGGTCTGTGTATATTTGTAAACAACAGCTGGTGCATAACATTTAATACTAAGGTTTTGCTCATGATAAGCTATAGACCACACTATTTACCAAGAGAGTTTTCATCTATATCTTTCGTAGCTGTCTATTTACCACCACAAACCAATGCTGGCACTAAGATTGCACTCAATGAGCTGTATAAAGCCATAAGTAAACAGGAAAACGCTCATCCAGAGGCAGCGCTCCTAGTGGCTGGGGACTTTAATGCAGGGAAACTTAAATCCGTTCTACCTAATTTCTACCAGCATGTTAAATGTGCAACTAGAGGAAAAAAAACTCTAGACCACCTTTACTCCACACACAGAGACACGTACAAAGCTCTCCCTCGCCCTCCATTTGGCAAATCTGACGATAACTCTATCCTCCTGATTCCTGCTTATAAGCTAAAACTAAAGCAGGAAGCACCAGTGACTCGGTTAATAAGGAAGTGATCAGATGATGCAGATGCTAAGCTACAGGACTGTTTTGCTAGCACAGACTGGAATGTGTTCTGGGATTCTTCTGATAGCATTGAGGAGTACACCACATCAGTCACTGGCTTCATCAATAAGTGCATCGAAGACGTCGTCCCCACAGTGACCGTACGTACATACCCCAATCAGAAGCCATGGATTTCAGGCAACATCCGCACTGAGCTAAAGGGTAGAGCTGCCACTTTCAAGGAACGGGACTCTAACCCGGACGCCTATAAGAAATCCCTCCATGCCCTCTGACGAACCATCATACAGGCAAAGAGTTAATACAGGACTAAGATTGAATCGTACTACACCGGCTCCGATGCTTGTCAGATGTGGCAGGGCTTGAAAACTATTACAGACTACAAAGGGAAGCACAGCCGCGAGTTTCGCAGTGATACAAGCCTACCAGACAAGCTAAATCACTTCTATGCTCGCTTCGAGGCAAGCAACACTGAAGCATGCATGAGAGCATCAGCTGTTCCGGATAACTATGTGATCACGCTCTCCATAGCCGATGTGAGTAAGACTTTTAAGCAGGTCGACATTCACAAGGCCGCAGGGCCAGACGGATTACCAGGACGTATACTCCGAGCATGCGCTGACCAACAGGCAAGTGTCTTCACTGACATTTTCAACATGTCCCTGACTGAGTCTGTAATACCAACATGTTTCAAGCAGACCACCATAGTCCCTGTGCCCAAGAACACTAAGATAACCTGCCTAAATGACTACCGACCCGTAGCACTCACGTCTGTAGCCATGAAGTGCTTTGAAAGGCTGGTCATGGCTCACATCAACACCATTATCCCAGAAACCCTAGACCCACTCCGATTTGCATACTGCCCCAACAGATCCACAGATGATGCAATCTCTTTTGCACTCCACACTGCCCTTTCCCACCTGGACAAGAGGAACACCTAAGTCAGAATGCTGTACATTGACTACAGCTCAGCGTTCAACACCATAGTGCCCTCAAAGCTCATCACTAAGCTAAGGACCCTGGGACTAAACACCTCCCTCTGCAACTGGATCCTGGACTTCCTGACGGGCCGCCTTCAGGTGGTAAGGGTAGGGAACAACACATCTGCCACGCTGATCCTCAACACGGGGGCCCCTCAGGGGTGCGTGCTCAGTCCCCTCCTGTACTCCCTGTTCACCCATGACAGTCGTGAAGAGGGCACGACAAAGCCTATTCCCCCTCAGGAGACTGAAAAGATTTGGCATGGGTCCTCAGATCCTCAAAAAGTTATACAGTTGCACCATCGAGAGCATCCTGACTGGTTGCATCACCGCCTGGTATGGCAACTGCTCGGCCTCCGACCTCAAGGCACTACAGAGGGTAATGCATACAGCCCAGTACATCACTGGGGCCAAACTTCCTGCCATCCAGGACCTCTATACCAGGCGGTGTCAGAGGAAGGCCCTACAAATTGTCAAAGACTCCAGACACCCATTGTGGATGTTTGGGATGCTCTGGATCGACGTGTACGACAGCATGTTCCAGTTCCCGCCAATATCCAGCATATTCGCACTGCCATTGAAGAGGAGTGAGACAACATTTCACAGGCCACTGCATGAGGCCAATGGTGGTCACACCAGATACTGATTGGTTTTCTGATCCACACCCTTACTTTTATTGACCAACAGATGCATATCTGTCTGTATTCCCAGTCATGTGAAATCCATAGATTAGGGCCTAATTTATTTATTTAAATTGACTGATTTCTTTATATGAACTGTAACTTACTAAAAGCTTTGAAAGTGTTGCATTTTGCGTTTATATTTTTGTTCAGCATAAAGTGTTTAAGCACCACAGTAGGTTTATAGTTTTTTTGTGGCCTATAAAGGCCTAATTATTATAATGTCATTGTATCATGGGGGGGGGCTATTGCAGTATATTGAATAAAAGGATTAATGTTAGTTTCCAAAATGGTCAATGATTGTTACATTATCTTACATTTATTGCGGTCAGATATCCTGTAGAGCTGCAGGTGCAAACCAGAAACCCGGGCTGTTCTGTTCCCATGGAGACAAATTCGCAAGGCACCTCTGACGAGAAACTAGACTATAGACAGCCTGAAGGAATAGCACAGACTGTTCTCTATCGTGCCTTATACGGTAAACCTAATCTTGATAATTCTGTATTTATTATGAAGGAGTTTAGATTAAGTGAATACGAGTCCTGGGGATTACAATAATGACAAAGGGGGATTACCGTTGACGGCTCGTCTGTAGGCTAGCTGGTTGGATAATATGGGTGCCGGGGAGGTTTGTCCTGTCCAGTGTTGAGTGTGGTTGATGGCTCTCAGCCAGGCAGACCGGCAAATGAAAGTTGAGAACAAGGGAGGCGATTGAATCTTCCCGTGTTCACCAGGATTTGATTTGACAGCGTTTTTGAAAGAACTGCGAGTTGACGCAACGCCACCCGATTGAGAGCATATGTTTTCTGTCTGCACACACATCCTATGGTATTGCGCGCTACTTGAAGATAATTCTATACAGATAAAGCATTATGTGTTGTCGCCCAGACATGGACACCGGTAAAACATTGGTGATGCTGCGCGATTAAGGGTAATTGTGAAAAGTGATATAATCGTATTTATGGGAAATTAAGTATGCTAACACCCACTGACTTCATCGAAATGATAACGATAAGATGTCTCGCCGGGTTTTGACGGGCTGACCAGGGACTCTCCAGGTTGGAAAACCAACGGCATTTGTGTAGGATAGGCTACAGCCTTTATGAATTTATTTTATAATCAATGTGAGTGCCACAGGACTTGTATTTAGATTGCTTATCTGTTCAAATCTATTTAAATGTACAATTGCATATGACTTTATTACAGCTATAGCAATAGACTATGCATCCATGTTATTAGCCTATTTACCATTTATAGGATAGGTAGTCTGTTAGGCTAATTTGGTGATGAATGTGAGTTGAGACTGAGAAAGATGGATTTTTTTTATACACGCTTTATGCATTGGTACACAGGCTCTATCTAAAAGCCTCTTTAGGGTATTTATGAAAAACATTTACTCATGCTAATCCATTTAAAATATAACTTCACCCAGTGAGGCTGTCATGCTTTGCTCTGTCCCTCTGAATCCATTATCAGTGGCTGTTTAGACACGGAGACAGTGTTTAGACACAGTGCCAATACCACAGCCAGCCAGGGCAGCTGCTGCCTCAGAGTAACTAACAACATCTCTCTCTCTCTCCTCTCTCTCTCTCTCTCTCTCTCTCTCTCTCTCTCTCTCTCTCTCTCACACTCCCTCCCTCCATCTAATCTATCCCTCTCTCCCTCTCTCCCTCCTCTCACTGTCATCCTCCACACAGGAAGCTGATCTAGCAGAAGCCTCAGTCCACAGCCATCCAGGCAGGATGACAGAGGGGGTGGAGGTGGAGGGCAGACAGAGCCAGACCCACAGGACCCAGAGGACCAGACAGAGCCAGACCCACAGGACCCAGAGGACCAGACAGAGCCAGACCCAGGGGGACACAGTCCTGCTGAGGAGGGGTAGTGGAGGAGAGGCCCCCCAGGGGCCTGAGGGACCCGAGGCTAGGGCAGAGGTGTACGGGGGGTCCGAGGTTAGGGCAGAGGGATCCGGGGGGACAGAGGATGTGGTAGAGACACGGACGTCTCAGGGTGGACCGGGGTGAACCACAGTACTGTGAGGAGGAGCACGGACAGTGACTCTGAGAAGCAGGAAGAAAATGCAGAAGAGGAGGAGGAAGAGAAGGGTTCCCTCCACTACCAACACCCTACTGGGTCAACACCCCACAATGGCCCAACTGGAGAAGCAGAGTCTGGGCTATCTGAGAAGGAGTATGCCCAACAGGTGGCCCCGGATGGAGGGCTGGGGCTGGGTGGTGCTGGTAGCTACCATCCTGGTCCTGGCTCTAACGCTGGCCTTCCCCTCCTGTATTGGTATCTTTTACACAGAGCTACAGGCTGAGTTCAGCTCCAGCAAACAACACCATGAAATCATTCCTTTTGGGTGCCTTGCTATCATGGAGAATGCGCTGCACGCTGGCGGGTGAGTGGGGAGGATGCTTCTGTCATTGTACATTGAGGCAGGTGTGTGGCAGGCCATTGGTACATTGCACCACACTGATCACTCTCGATTGTCTCTCTCGAGAACAGAAGAGGATAGACATAATAAGAGAGAAGAGACGAGAAGGAGAGCGAGAGAGAAGAGCAGCAAAGAGATAAAAGCGCGAAAAAGAAAAAGCGAAGGAGAAGGGACAGAGGGGAGAAGGGGCAAAAAAAGGGCGGGGGGAAAAAAGGGGAGAGAAAAAAAAAAGGGGGGAGGGAGAAAAACAAAAAAAAAGAAAAAAAAAAAAAAAAAGAAGAAGTTTTAAAAAAAAAAAATTTAAAAAAAAAAAGTACCAAAAGACCAAAAAAAAAAAAAAATAAAATTTTAAATTTTAAATTTTTTTAATTTTAAAATTTTTATAAATCTTTTTTTTTTTAACTTTTATTCTTTTTGAATAATTTTTTTAATTATCTTTTTGTTTCTTATTTTTCTTTTTCTCTCTCCTTTTGTTTTTTCATCTTTCTTCTCTATCTCTTTATTTAAACTCCAAAAAAGGTTTTTTTAAAACCCACCTCCTCCTTTTCCTTCTCTCTCTTTTCTCTCTTTCCCCTCCTCCTCTCCTCTCTCTGTCAGTCTCTCTCTTCTTTTCTTTTCTTTTCTCTCTCTCTCTTCTCTTTTCGTCGCTTGTCTTTTCTCTCTCCAAACCCACTAATGACGTCATTGTCATGTAATTATGTAGGATATTCGGCTGATTGAAGTAGGCTACTTCAATAATAACTATGTTGCAAGAAACGTCTCCAGATTAATGATTCATTAGTAGTTCACTACTTTCACATAATAACAGTATGTTGACCACACAAATGAAACATTACCTACCAGACCATGTCATTAGTTCACCTATCTTTCACTTCAACGTATGTTGACACAGAAATACACACACACCCACACCCACTGGACACACACACAGATGGAGTATTAGGGAGTGTTTTCTTGCAAGCTGTAGGCTTACAGTAAAGGTGAGGGGTTAGGGTTGTAGAGTTCTGGTAAACTCACAGGATGCTGTTCTCTGTAGGTTTACAGTAAAGGTGAGGGGTTAGGGTGATAGAGTTCTGGTATACTCTACAGGATGCTGTCTCTCTGTAGGTTACGTAAAGGTGAGGGGTTAGGGTTGAAGAGTTATGGTAACTTAAGGTTGCTGTCTTCTGTAGGTTTACGGAAAGGGGCGGGTTTAGGGTTGTAGAGTTTGGTAATCTACAGGTTGCTGTCTCTCTGTAGGTTTACAGTAAAGGGGAGGGGTTAGGGTGTAGAGTTTGGTAATTTAAAAGGTGTGCCTCTGTAGGTTTACAGTAAAGGTGAGGGGTTAGGGTGAAGAGTTCTGGTAACTCTACAGGTTGCTGTCTCTCTGTAGGTTTACAGTAAAGGGGAGGGGTTAGGGTGTAGAGTTCTGGTAACTCTACAGGTTGCTGTCTCTCTGTAGGTTTACAGTAAAGGGAGGGGTTAGGGTGTAGAGTTCTGGTAACTCTACAGGTTGCTGTCTCTCTGTAGGTTTACAGTAAAGGTGAGGGGTTAGGGTGTAGAGTTCTGGTATCTACAGGATGCTGTCTCTCTGTAGGTTTACTGTAAAGGTGAGGGGTTAGGGTGAAGAGTTATGGTAACTCTACAGGTTGCTGTCTCTCTGTAGGTTTACAGTAAAGGGGAGGGGTTAGGGTTAAGAGTTCTGGTAACTCTGTGTTTGTCTCTTTCCGTGACCCTGCGACTGTGTGAACGGCCCAGGTTCAGATGTACAAACACACACACACACTGGACACACACACACACTGGACACAAACACACACATACACACACACACACACACACACACACACACACACACAGGCACACAGGCACACTGGGCACACAGGCACACTGGACACACACACACACTGGACACACACACACACACTCCCTGGACACACACACACACACACACAGACACACTGGACACACTGAGGGAGTAAAGGCGTTTCCTTGCAGGCTGTGTGTTTACAGTAAGGGTGAGAGGTTAGGTGAAGAGTTCTGGTAACACTGCAGATGCTGTCTCTGTTCAGGCCCCCTGCAGGTGTGTGTGTCTGTGTGTGAGAGAGAGAACAGCCCAGGTTCAGACGCAGCTCGGCGTGTGTGTGTTTGCGTGTGTGTGACTCAGCCACTGTTTGTTATTACAGGGCGGTAGCTCAGGGCCAGACGGGACAGACAGGACCAGTAGTCCATTGTTCTGGTGGCCCAGTGTTTATTTATCCATCTATTACCCTGACCCTCCCTCTCTCCCATTCCTCCTCTTTATATCTCCCTCCCTCCCTCCCTCTCTCTTTCTCTGTCTACTGAGGAGGACTAAAGCCAAGAGGAACATTAACTGGTGATTCACTGAAGTGGTATGATAGTGTGAACCACAGCGTCCTTCCTTATTTACAGTAAGCCTTTTACTCCTTCTGGACCGTAGACCATCAGTATTAGATCTCCAGTTGATACATCGGTATTAGATCTCCAGTTGATCCATCGGTATTAGACCTCCAGTTGATCCATCGATGTTAGACCTCCAGTTGATCCATCGGTATTAGATCTCCAGTTGATCCATCGGTATTAGACCTCCAGTTGATCCATCGATGTTAGACCTCCAGTTGATCCATCGATATTAGATCTCCAGTTGATCCATCGGTATTAGCCCTCCAGTTGATCCATCGATATTAGACCTCCAGTTGATCCATCAGTATTAGATCTCCAGTTGATCCATCGATATTAGATCTCCAGTTGATCCATCGATATTAGATCTCCAGTTGATCCATTGATATTAGACCTCCAGTTGATCCATCGGTATTAGATCTCCAGTTGATCCATCGGTATTAGCCCTCCAGTTGATCCATCGATATTAGACCTCCAGTTGATCCATCGGTATTAGATCTCCAGTTGATCCATCGGTATTAGCCCTCCAGTTGATCCATCGATATTAGACCTCCAGTTGATCCATCGGTATTAGACCTCCAGTTGATCCATCGATGTTAGACCTCCAGTTGATCCATCGGTATTAGATCTCTAGTTGATCCATCGGTATTAGACCTCCAGTTGATCCATCGATATTAGATCTCCAGTTGATCCATCAGTATTAGCCCTCCAGTTGATCCATCAATATTAGACCTCCAGTTGATCCATCAATATTAGATCTCCAGTTGATCCATCGGTATTAGCCCTCCAGTTGATCCATCGATATTAGATCTCCAGTTGATCCATCGATATTAGATCTCCAGTTGATCCATCGATATTTGACCTCCAGTTGATCCATCGATATTAGACCTCCAGTTGATCCATCGGTATTAGATCTCCAGTTGATCCATCGGTATTAGCCCTCCAGTTGATCCATCGATATTAGACCTCCAGTTGATCCATCAATATTAGATCTCCAGTTGATCCATCGGTATTAGATCTCCAGTTGATCCATCGATATTTGACCTCCAGTTGATCCATCGATATTAGACCTCCAGTTGATCCATCGATATTAGATCTCCAGTTGATCCATCGATATTAGATCTCCAGTTGATCCATCGGTATTAGACCTCCAGTTGATCCATCGGTATTAGATCTCCAGTTGATCCATCGATATTAGATCTCCAGTTGATCCATCGATATTAGACCTCCAGTTGATCCATCGGTATTAGATCTCCAGTTTATCCATCGGTATTAAATCTCCAGTTGATCCATCGATATTAGACCTCCAGTTGATCCATCGGTATTAGATCTCCAGTTGATCCATCAATATTTGACCTCCAGTTGATCCATCGATATTTGACCTCCAGTTGATCCAGTGTCATCACTGTAAATTATGAATTCATGTAATTATTGTTCCGTGACGTCAGTGTTCTTAATTTCTACATTTACATTTACATTTACATTTTAGCAGACGCTCTTATCCAGAGCGACTTACAGGAGCAATTAGGGTTAAGTGCCTTGCTCAAGGGCACATCGACAGATTTTTCACCTAGTCGGCTCGGGGATTAGAACCAGCGACCTTTCGGTTACTGGCAAAACGCTCTTAACCACTAAGTTACCTGCCGCCTAGATGTCAAAGGTCAAACGTGTTTGGCTCAGTTGGTAGGGCATGGTGCTTGCAACGCCAACGTTGTGGGTTTGATTCCCATGGGAGACAAGTAGAAAATGTATGCACTCACTACTGTAAGTTGCTCTGGATAAGAGAGTCTGCTAAATGACTCAAATGTAAGTATGTGTTCTAGCAGTGCTTTGAGTTATCAACAGATGGGAACAAGCATCATGTATCATATTGGGGAAATGACTGCAGTGCCTGTGTGTCAGACTGGTGCTTTTTTCAATGGACCGAGATATTGGGATATTCAAAGCTTCAAGGATTTTCCAGTGGACAGGGTTGGTTTTAACCGGATGAATCTGGAGGAGACAGAGGGAGAGATGGAGGGAGGGACATGGGGAGGGAGAGATGGAGGGAGGGACATGGGGAGGGAGGGATGGTTGTAGGGACAGATGGAGAGATGGAGGGTGGATGGAGAGAGAGAGAGACGGACGGTGGATGGAGGGAGAGATGGAGGGTGGATGGAGGTAGGGATGGAGGGAGAGATAGACAAAGGGAGAGATGGAGTGATAGTTTCAGAAATAGTCTCGGAAATCCCAGAACTAGGGCCAAAGCGTATGTCAGAACACTGTTCATGTGGGAGGCAACCCGTCTGCCTAGGGAGACTAAGGGAGGGAGGGAGGGAGGGAGGAAGGGAGGGAGGGAGAGAGGGATAGGGTTCACCCAGGACTGAGGAACATTCTTAGAGCCTTGACTAGACCACGAGACTGGAGCAGACATTATCATGACACAGAGCACAGATGAGACAGCATGACTGGAGCAGACATTATCATGACAGAGACCTGACTAGACCACATGACTGGAGCAGACATGATCATGACAGAGACCTGACTAGACCACATGACTGGAGCAGACATTATCATGACAGAGACTTGACTAGACCACATGACTGGAGCAGACATTATCATGACAGAGACCTGACTAGACCACATGACTGGAGCAGACATTATCATGACACAGAGCACAGATGAGACAGCATGACTGGAGCAGACATTATCATGACAGAGACCTGACTAGACCACATGACTGGAGCAGACATTATCATGATACAGAGACCTGACTAGACCACACGACTGGAGCAGACATTATCATGACAGAGACCTGACTAGACCACGAGACTGGAGCAGACATTATCATGACACAGAGACCTGACTAGACCACACGACTGGAACAGACATTATCATGACAGAGACCTGACTAGACCACATGACTGGAGCAGACATTATCATGACACAGACCTGACTAGACCACATGACTGGAGCAGACATTATCATGACACAGAGCACATATGAGACAGCATGACTGGACCAGACATTATCATGACAGAGACCTGACTAGACCACATGACTGGAGTAGACATTATCATGACACAGACCTGACTAGACCACATGACTGCAGCAGACATTATCATGACACAGAGACCTGACTAGACCACATGACTGGATCAGACATTATCATGACACAGAGACCTGACTAGACCACGAGACTGGAGCAGACATTATTATGACAGAGACCTGACTAGACCACATGACTGGAGCAGACATTATCATGACACAGAGCACAGATGAGACAGCATGACTGGAGCAGACATTATCATGACAGAGACCTGACTAGACCACATGACTGGAGCAGACATTATCATGACACAGACCTGACTAGACCACATGACTGGAGCAGACATTATCATGACACAGAGACCTGACTAAACCACATGACTGGAGCAGACATTATCAGGACAGAGACCTGACTAGACCACATGACTGGAGCAGACATTATCACGACACAGAGCACATATGAGATAGCATGACTGGAGCAGACATTATCATGACAGCGACCTGACTAGACCACATGACTGGAGCAGACATTATCATGACACAGACCTGACTAGACCACATGACTGGAGCAGACATTATCATGACACAGAGACCTGGCTAGACCACACGACAGGAGCAGACATTATCATGACAATACCTGACTAGACCACATGACTGGAGCAGACATTATCATGACACAGAGCACAGATGAGACAGCATGACTGGAGCAGACATTATCATGACACAGAGACCTGACTAGACCACATGACTGGAGCAGACATTATCATGACACAGAGACCTGACTAGACCACACGACTGGAGCAGACATGAACATGACAGAGACCTGACTACACCACATGACTGGAGCAGACATTATCATGACAGAGACCTGACTAGACCACATGACTGGAGCAGACATTATCATGACACAGAGCACAGATGAGACAGCATGACTGGAGCAGACATTATCATGACAGCGACCTGACTAGACCACATGACTGGAGCAGACATTATCATGACACAGACCTGACTAGACCACATGACTGGAGCAGACATTATCATGACACAGAGCACAGATGAGACAGCATGACTGGAGCAGACATTATCATGACAGCGACCTGACTAGACAACATGACTGGAGCAGACATTATCATGACAGAGACCTGACTAGACCACATGACTGGAGCAGACATTATTATGACAGAGATCTGACTAGACCACATGACTGGAGCAGACATTATCATGACACAGAGCACAGATGAGACAGCATGACTGGAGCAGACATTATCATGACAGCGACCTGACTAGACCACATGACTGGAGCAGACATTATCATGACACAGATACCTGACTAGACCACATGACTGGATCAGACATTATCATGACACAGAGACCTGACTAGACCACGAGACTGGAGCAGACATTATTATGACAGAGACCTGACTAGACCACATGACTGGAGCAGACATTATCATGACAGAGACCTGACTAGACCACGAGACTGGAGCAGACATTATCATGACACAGAGACCTGACTAGACCACATGACTGGAGCAGACATTATCATGACACAGAGCACAGATGAGACAGCATGACTGGAGCAGACATTATCATGACAGAGACCTGACTAGACCACATGACTGGAGCAGACATTATCATGACACAGACCTGACTAGACCACATGACTGGAGCAGACATTATCATGACACAGAGACCTGACTAAACCACACGACTGGAGCAGACATTATCATGACAGAGACCTGACTAGACCACATGACTGGAGCAGACATGATCATGACAGAGACCTGACTAGACCACATGACTGGAGCAGACATTATCATGACAGAGACTTGACTAGACCACATGACTGGAGCAGACATTATCATGACAGAGACCTGACTAGACCACATGACTGGAGCAGACATTATCATGACACAGAGCACAGATGAGACAGCATGACTGGAGCAGACATTATCATGACAGAGACCTGACTAGACCACATGACTGGAGCAGACATTATCATGATACAGAGACCTGACTAGACCACACGACTGGAGCAGACATTATCATGACAGAGACCTGACTAGACCACGAGACTGGAGCAGACATTATCATGACACAGAGACCTGACTAGACCACACGACTGGAACAGACATGATCATGACAGAGACCTGACTAGACCACATGACTGGAGCAGACATTATCATGACACAGACCTGACTAGACCACATGACTGGAGCAGACATTATCATGACACAGAGCACAGATGAGACAGCATGACTGGAGCAGACATTATCATGACAGAGACCTGACTAGACCACATGACTGGAGTAGACATTATCATGACACAGACCTGACTAGACCACATGACTGGAGCAGACATTATCATGACACAGAGACCTGACTAGACCACATGACTGGATCAGACATTATCATGACACAGAGACCTGACTAGACCACGAGACTGGAGCAGACATTATTATGACAGAGACCTGACTAGACCACATGACTGGAGCAGACATTATCATGACACAGACCTGACTAGACCACATGACTGGAGCAGACATTATCATGACACAGAGACCTGACTAAACCACACGACTGGAGCAGACATTATCATGACAGAGACCTGACTAGACCACATGACTGGAGCAGACATTATCATGACAGAGACCTGACTAGACCACATGACTGGAGCAGACATTATCACGACACAGAGCACATATGAGATAGCATGACTGGAGCAGACATTATCATGACAGCGACCTGACTAGACCACATGACTGGAGCAGACATTATCATGACACAGACCTGACTAGACCACATGACTGGAGCAGACATTATCATGACACAGAGACCTGGCTAGACCACACGACTGGAGCAGACATTATCATGACAATACCTGACTAGACCACATGACTGGAGCAGACATTATCATGACACAGAGCACAGATGAGACAGCATGACTGGAGCAGACATTATCATGACACAGAGACCTGACTAGACCACATGACTGGAGCAGACATTATCATGACACAGAGACCTGACTAGACCACACGACTGGAGCAGACATGAACATGACAGAGACCTGACTACACCACATGACTGGAGCAGACATTATCATGACAGAGACCTGACTAGACCACATGACTGGAGCAGACATTATCATGACACAGAGCACAGATGAGACAGCATGACTGGAGCAGACATTATCATGACAGCGACCTGACTAGACCACATGACTGGAGCAGACATTATCATGACACAGACCTGACTAGACCACATGACTGGAGCAGACATTATCATGACACAGAGCACAGATGAGACAGCATGACTGGAGCAGACATTATCATGACAGCGACCTGACTAGACAACATGACTGGAGCAGACATTATCATGACAGAGACCTGACTAGACCACATGACTGGAGCAGACATTATCATGACAGAGATCTGACTAGACCACATGACTGGAGCAGACATTATCATGACACAGAGCACAGATGAGACAGCATGACTGGAGCAGACATTATCATGACAGCGACCTGACTAGACCACATGACTGGAGCAGACATTATCATGACACAGATACCTGACTAGACCACACGACTGGAGCATACATTATCATGACAGAGACCTGACTAGACAACATGACTGGAGCAGACATTATCATGACAGAGACCTGACTAGACCACATGACTGGAGCGGACATTATCATGACAGAGATCTGACTAGACCACATGACTGGAGCAGACATTATCATGACACAGAGCACAGATGAGACAGCATGACTGGAGCAGACATTATCATGACACAGAGCACAGATGAGACCACATGCCTGGAGCAGACATTATCATGACACAGAGCACAGATGAGACAGCACAAGAATGGACTCATTATTCCCACATCAAAGACAATACCAAGAGTTCTCAGTACTCTGAATTTCATTATGTTCATTTCAATCAATTAGCCTGATAGGTACTCCTGTAAGCTTAGGTCTGTCTTGGATAGTTGGATTTAAGAGCTGGAAGATGATCAGTCAGATAATTTGTATCTGAGCACATTATTGTAAGAGCCTGCAGACATAGCCACCCGTCACAGTGTGGGTAACCTCGTGACCTTTTCCCAGGCTAATTGCGCTTAGCGTTTATACATAAGCCTAGAACACCAACTAACAAGTCTGGCCGACGGGGGAGTGAACTGATTTTTATTTTAAAGCTTTGGTCCACCAGACGTTCCCAGCATTGGGAGGAAGTGTCTGCTGAACGACTTTACAGAGTGGGTTTCAGCAACTGTGTTTTAGTGGAAAGGAACGGCTTCCTGTCCTCTTTTTGCAGACTATTGTTCCATGTTCAGTGATAATGCATTGATGATGCTAATTAGGGTGATCTGATATGCTAATCAGTACATTGTATGTTTTTGGTGAGTGTGTGGTGTGTGTGTGTTTGTGGTGTGTGTTTGTGGTGTGTGTGTGTGAGTGCGGCCCCTGTCTGTGTGTTGTTGTATTATGATTGAACATTGTTTTCATGTCTCTCCAGGTCCACTATGCAGCGTGCTCGTGGAACGCTTTGGTTGCCGGGTAACGGTGATGGTGGGAGGGGTTCTGAGTGGACTAGGCATGGTGGTCAGCGCGCTGGCCAGAACCATCACAGAACTCTACATCACCAGCATCATCGCAGGTCAGAGGGAAAACACACACACGGTCTTGTACAACTATCCTTGTGGAGACACACAATTCAGTCCCAAAATCCTATTTTCCCTAACCCTAACTTTAAACCTAACCTTAACCCTAGCTCCTAACTCTAAAACTAACCCTAGCTCCTAACCCTAAACCTAATTCTAACACTAATTCTAACCTTAACCCTAAACCCCCTAGAAATAGCATTTGGCGTTGTGGGGACCAACAAAATGTCCCCAGTTGGTCACATTTTTGTTCGTTTACTATTCTTGTTCTGGTCCCCACAAGTATAGTTAAAGACGCACGCGCACACACACACACACACACACACACACACACACACACACACACTATAAACCCCCCAATATAAGACTTATCTTTCTATGAGGCATTATGAATCATCCTCATCAGTACCTCTGTCCTCCTCTCTCCTCCACATACAGGGTTGGGGTTCTGCCTGTCCTTCCAGCCCTCTGTGACCATGATGGGGCACTACTTTTTGAGGCGGCGGGCGTTCGCCAATGCCCTGTCGTCCACTGGCACGGCCCTGGGCCTCAGCACCTTACCCCTGCTGGCCAACTTCCTGCTGGGCCAGTTTGGCTGGAGAGGTAGCTTCCTGGTCCTGGGGGGGCTGCTGTTGAACTGTTGCGTGTGTGGGGCCGTCATGAGGCCCCTGGGGGACAAACACAGAGGGGCCCCGAGGACACTCACTAACAAGGCCGCCCAGGGGCTCAGCAAGCAACCAATCAAAGGTCCTCTCCAACAGGAGAAGGAGGGGCTTAAGGCAAGACTTAGGACAGCACTCAGTGACCTTGTGGTGTTCCTACGGAGACACATGGCCTTTGACCTGTTGGTCAGTAACCCTCGTTACCGTGCCTATGCCCTGGGGGTGACGTGGATGATGTTGGGGTTTGTAGTTCCCCTGGTCTACCTGGTGCCCTATGCTACAGCCCATGGTATGGAACCGGACCGAGCCGCGCTGCTGATGGCCACACTGGGCCTGGTCAACATTGCTGTGAGACCCGTGGCGGCTGTCTTCTTCGGCCTGCCGCGCTTCAGGTACTGTAGCCTGGATGTTAGAGGTTAGGCGTGCTGGTTCGAATCCCAAGCAAGAAAACATTTAATAAAAAATTATGTGATCTAAAAAATAGAATGGATAATACATTGGTCTCCTCCTCTTCCTCCTCCTCCTCCTCCTCCTCCTCCTCCTCTCAGGAGCAGTGGCTGTTTTGTGTATGTGTTTGCAGTAGCCCTCCTGGTCAACGGGCTGAGTAACAGTATCTGTGGTGCGGCCGCCACCTTCCCCGTGCTCCTGACCTACGTGGTGATCTTTGGTCTGTCCATGTCTGTGATTGGCTCTCTGCTCTTCACGGTACTGATGGAAACGGTGGAGATGAGCCGCTTCTCCTCTGCCCTGGGTCTCATCAGTATGTTAGAGAGTGGAACACTGCTGATTGGACCGCCGCTCGCAGGTACTGTGTATTGTGCGTGTCAGTGGTGTACTTCTACACATTTTGCAATGAGCCAAAGATAAACATTTGCAGTTTTACAGCGAATTCCCTTTAATTCAAAACATTTTTGCCATGGCTTTTATGACATGTTCATATGCTATCTGGGGAGTGGGGAGGGGGGCAATCCCAATTTGTATTTTTGGGGGGTTTGGGGCCCCCAGAGCGGGGTTCCGCGGGCTCTGCCACACTGCGGGGGCTGTGGGGGTGTGTGGTACACCAGTGGTGACTGTGTGTGTGCACTTATCTTTGTCCTTTTCACTGTATGTCAGTGTGAGAATTTCCCCATACAATATGTTTGGTACAATATGGTATTCTAGTCTATGTCATCTAATGTTCAAATCCTATCTGTGTATTCTTTGTCTCTTGTACAGAATCAATGACTGCCCCTACCGCATGTCAAGTTATTTACAGTCTAATTGTATCATTGTTGGTCAGTAGGTGGCCAGCATAACAACAGGTGGTGGTGTTGGACACAGTGACTCATATAGACATAGATGTTAAGGTTCTTGTCAAGTTATGGCCAGTATAAACGTATGTTATGTGAGGACTGAGGAGGCTATGAGTTATGCCCAGTATAAACTTGTTATGTTATGTGAGGACTGAGGAGGCTATGAGTTATGCCCAGTATAAACGTGTTATGTTATGTGAGGACTGAGGAGAGTATAAGTTATGCCTAGTATAAACTTGTATGTTATGTGAGGACTGAGGAGGGTATGAGTTATGCCCAGTGTAAACTTGTTATGTTATGTGAGGACTGGGGAGGGTATGAGTTATGCCCAGTATAAACTTGTTATGTTATGTGAGGACTGAGGAGGGTATAAGTTATGCCCAGTATAAACTTGTTATGTTATGTGAGGACTGAGGAGGGTATAAGTTATGCCTAGTATAAACTTGTATGTTATGTGAGGACTGAGGAGGGTATGAGTTATGCCCAGTGTAAACTTGTTATGTTATGTGAGGACTGGGGAGGGTATGAGTTATGCCCAGTATAAACTTGTTATGTTATGTGAGGACTGAGGAGGGTATGAGTTTTGTCACACGGGGAAATGGAATGTTCCGTCCGCTGGATTCCCATGTCATAGCTGGGGATGTGACTGGGTCATGTGCTCTGTTTTCCACTGTGTGTGTGTGTGTGTGTGTGTGTGTGTGTGTATGTGTCTGTGTGTGTGCGCGTGCTTGTGTCAGGCGGGTAGCAATGTCTGGGTCGACAGGGAATGGCTCTGTCCTGTTCCAGGAGTCACTGCCCAAAGACATAACCCTAGGCAGGAGAGAGAGAGAGAGTGTATGTATGTGTTTGTATTTATGCGTGCAAGAATGTACTTGCGTGTGTGTGTTGGCATGTGTGTTCAGGGCAGAGGGCAGGGCAGGCTGACTGGAGGAGGGAGTGGCCTAGTGTACCTATGGTCTCTGGTTTCCAGCGCCATGGCAACTCAAATGTCAACGCCTGGTGGTAGCCTACTAGCCCTGTGGCAGAGCTGTGCTGAACTAGGATCCAGTTCAGATGAACGTGTTGTGAGGACACACTGCCACGCTTAAATATACAGTGGGGAGAACAAGTATTTGATACACTGCCGATTTTGCAGGTTTTCCTACTTACAATGCATGTAGAGGTCTGTAATCTTTATCATAGGTACACTTCAACTGTGAGAGACGGAATCTAAAACAAAAATCCAGAAAATCACATTGTATGATTTTTAAGTAATTCATTTGCATTTTATTGCATGACATAAGTATTTGATACATCAGAAAAGCAGAACTTAATATTTGGTACAGAAACCTTTGTTTGCAATTACAGAGATCATACATTTCCTGTAGGTCTTGACCAGGTTTGCACACAATGCAGAAGGGATTTTGGCCCACTCCTCCATACAGACCTCATCCAGATCCTTCAGGTTTCGGGGCTGTCACTGGGCAATACAGACTTTCAGCTCCCTCCAAATATTTTCTATTGGGTTCAGGTCTGGAGACTGGCTAGGCCACTCCAGGACCTTGAGATGCCTCTTACGGAGCCACTCCTTAGTTGCCCTGGCTGTGTGTTTCGGGTCGTTGTCATGCTGGAAGACCCAGCCACGACCCATCTTCAATGCTCTTACTGAGGGAATGAGGTTGTTGGCCAAGATCTTGCGATACATGGCCCCATCCATCCTCCCCTCAATACGGTGCAGTCGTCCTGTCCCCTTTGCAGAAAAGCATCCCCAAAGAATGATGTTTGCACCTCCATGCTTCACGGTTGGGATGGTGTTCTTGGGGTTGTACTCATCCTTCTTCTTCCTCCAAACACGGCGAGTGGAGTTTAGACCAAAAAGCTCTGTTTTTGTCTCATCAGACCACATGACCTTCTCCCATTCCTCCTCTGGATCATCCAGATGGTCATTGGCAAACTTCAGACGGGCCTGGACATGCGCTGGCTTGAGCAGGGGGACCTTGCGTGCGCTGCAGGATTTTAATCCATGACGGCGTAGTGTGTTACTAATGGTTTTCTTTGAGACTGTGGTCCCAGCTCTCTTCAGGTCATTGACCAGTTCCTGCCGTGTAGTTCTGGGCTGATCCCTCACCTTCCTCATGATCATTGATGCCCCACGAGGTGAGATCTTGCATGGAGCCCCAGACCGAGGGTGATTGACCGTCATCTTGAACTTCTTCCATTTTCTAATAATTGCGCCAACAGTTGTTGCCTTCTCACCAAGCTGCTTGCCTATTGTCCTGTAGCCCATACCAGCCTTGTGCAGGTCTACAATTGTATCCCTGATGTCCTTACACAGCTCTCTGGTCTTGGCCATTGTGGAGAGGTTGAAGTCTGTTTGATTGAGTGTGTGGACAGGTGTCTTTTATACAGGTAATGAGTTCAAACAGGTGCTGCTAATACAGGTAATGAGTGGAGAACAGGAGGGCTTCTTAAAGAAAAATGAACAGGTTTGTGAGAGCCGGAATTCTTACTGGTTGGTAGGTGATCAAATACTTATGTCATGCAATAAAATGCAAATTAATTACTTAAAAATCATACAATGTGATTTTCTGGATTTTTGTTTTAGATTCCGTCTCTCACAGCTGAAGTGTACCTATGATAAAAATTACAGACATCTACATGCTTTTTAAGTAGGAAAACCTGCAAAATCGGCAGTGTATCAAATACTTGTTCTCCCCACTGTAGCTGTTCTCTGGCTGTTATAGCATCACGTGTGGTTATTGATACAAGCCTTCTAGGAAATGCTTATGTACTGCTTATGAACTGTTTTGTGTGGGTTATGAACGTGTTATGACATCGTAACGTAGGTACCCTTCAAATAAAGTGTTACCCAAGTCTTTCCTAACGCTGTGCGTGTCTCCATGTCCCTCTCTTCCAGGCATGTTGGTGGACAGCACAGGCCAGTACTCTTATGTGTTCTACGCCTGCAGTGTGACCGTCTCCTCCTCTGGCCTCTTCCTCATCGGAGCCTTCTACTATCTGGACAGACAGAAGGACAGAGAAGAGAAGAAGAAAGCAGGTCCTCCTGCTGCCTACCAACAGAAGCCTGCTATCATCCTAGCCCCTGACTGCCAGTACAGCCATGTTCCTTCTACACAGGGAGGGAAAGCAGCAGACACTGTTTATGTCACCAACGTGTGACGTACTAATACGCACGTGTAACCCAGTGAGACAAACTGTGTACCTGCCTGCCATAGAATTACAGTGGGGGAAAAAAGTATTTAGTCAGCCACCAATTGTGCAAGTTCTCCCACTTAAAAAGATGAGAAAGGCCTGTAATTTTCATCATAGGTACACGTCAACTATGACAGACAAAATGAGAAAAAAAATCCAGAAAATCACATTGTAGGATTTTTTATGAATTTATTTGCAAATTATGGTGGAAAATAAGTATTTGGTCAATAACAAAAGTTTCTCAATACTTTGTTATATAGCCTTTGTTGGCAATGACACAGGTCAAACGTTTTCTGTAAGTCTTCACAAGGTTTTCACACACTGTTGCTGGTATTTTGGCCCATTCCTCCATGCAGATCTCCTCTAGAGCAGTGATGTTTTGGGGCTGTCACTTTCAACTCCCTCCAAAGATGTTCTATGGGGTTGAGATCTGGAGACTGGCTAGGCCACTCCAGGACCTTGAAATGCTTCTTACGAAGCCACTCCTTCATTGCCCGGGCGGTGTGTTTGGGATCATTGTCATGCTGAAAGACCCAGCCACGTTTCATCTTCAATGCCCTTGCTGATGGAAGGAGGTTTTCACTCAAAATCTCACGATACATGGCCCCATTCATTCTTTCCTTTACACGGATCAGTCGTCCTGGTCCCTTTGCAGAAAAACAGCCCCAAAGCATGATGTTCCCACCCCCATGCTTCACAGTAGGTATGGTGTTCTTTGGATGCAACTCAGCATTCTTTGTCCTCCAAACACGACGAGTTGAGTTTTTACCAAAAAGTTCTATTTTGGTTTCATCTGACCATATGACATTCTCCCAATCCTCTTCTGGATCATCCAAATGCACTCTAGCAAACTTCAGACGGGCCTGGACATGTACTGGCTTAAGCAGGGGGACACGTCTGGCACTGCAGGATTTGAGTCCCTGGCGGCGTAGTGTGTTACTGATGGTAGGCTTTGTTACTTTGGTCCCAGCTCTCTGCAGGTCATTCACTAGGTCCCCCCGTGTGGTTATGGGATTTTTGCTCACCGTTCTTGTGATCATTTAGATCTTGCGTGGAGCCCCAGATCGAGGGAGATTATCAGTGGTCATGTATGTCTTCCATTTCCTAATAATTGCTCCCACAGTTGATTTCTTCAAACCAAGCTGCTTACCTATTGCAGATTCAGTCTTCCCAGCCTGGTGCAGGTCTACAATTTTGTTTCTGGTGTCCTTTGACAGCTCTTTGGTCTTGGCCATAGTGGAGTTTGGAGTGTGACTGTTTGAGGTTGTGGACAGGTGTCTTTTATACTGATAACAAGTTCAAACAGGTGCCATTAATACAGGTAATGAGTGGAGGACAGAGGAGCCTCTTAAAGAAGAAGTTACAGGTCTGTGAGAGCCAGAAATCTTGCTTGTTTGTAGGTGACCAAATACTTATTTTCCACCATAATTTGCAAATAAATTCATTAAAAATCCTACAATGTGATTTTCAGGATTTTTTAATCTCAATTTGTCTGTCATAGTTGACGTGTACCTATGATGAAAATTACAGGCCTCTCTCATCTTTTTAAGTGGGAGAACTTGCACAATTGGTGGCTGACTAAATACTTTTTTCCCCCACTGTACGTCTAGAATCAGAATGAAGTAAGGAGGTAGCCTTCCGCGAGCCTTGGCCTGTAGGAGCCGCAACAAATCACAGGAACTGCTCACTATGGAACGGCTCACTATGATGAATCAATGAATGATAGGATCTCTGTGGTGCCTGCTGTCTGCTGTCTTCAGAGGGAAGAACTGGGAGGTTACACATGCACTACTGTTATCATCAATGTGATGCCTATGTACGTACATACAGTTGAAGTCGGAAGTTTACATACACCTTAGCCAAATACATTTAAACTCAGTTTTTCACAATTCCTGACATTTAATCCTAGTAAAAATTCCCTGTTTTAGGTCAGTTAGGATCACCACTTTATTTTAAGAATGTGAAATGTCAGAATTATAGTATAAATAATTATTTATTTCAGCTTGTATTTCTTTCATCACATTCCCAGTGGGTCAGAAGTTTACATACACTCAGTTAGTATTTGGTAGCATTGCCTTTAAATTGTTTAACTTGGGTCAAATGTTTCGGGTAGCCTTCCACAAGCTTCCCACAATAAGTTGGGTGAATTTTGGCCCATTCCTCCTGACAGAGCTGGTGTAACTGAGTCAGGTTTGTAGGCCTCCTTGCTCGCACACACTTTTTCGGTTCTGCCCACATATTTTCTATAGGATTGATGGCCACTCCAATACCTTGACTTTGTTGTCCTTAAGCCATTTTGCCACAACTTTGGAAGTATGCTTGGGGTCATTGTCCATTTGGAAGACCCATTTGCGACCAAGCTTTAACTTCCTGACTGATGTCTTGAGATGTTGCTTCAATATATCCACATAATTTTCCTTCCTCATGATGCCATCTATTTTGTGAAGTGCACCAGTCCCTCCTGCAGCAAAGCACCCCCACAGCATGATGCTGCCACCCCTGTGCTTCACGGTTGGGATGGTGTTCTTCGGCTTGCAAGCAGTCCCCCTTTTCCTCCAAATATAACGATGGTCATTATGGCCATCAGACCAGAGGACATTTCTCCAAAAAGTACGGTCTTTGTCCCCATGTGCAGTTGCAAACCATAGTCTGGCTTTTTTATGGCGGTTTTGGAGCAGTGGCTTCTTCCTTGCTGAGCAGCATTTCAGGTTATGTCGATGTAGGACTCGTTTTACTGTGGATATAGATACTTTTGTACCTGTTTCCTCCAGCCTCTTCACAAGGTCCTTTGCTGTTGTTCTGGAATTGATTTGCACTTTTTGCACCAAAGTACGTTCATCTATAGGAGACAGAACGCGTCTCATTCCTGAGCGGTATGACGGCTGCGTGTTCATATGGTGTTTATACTTGCGTACTATTGTTTGTACAGATGAACGTGGTACCTTCAGGCGTTTGGAAATTGCTCCCAAGTATGAACCAGACTTGTGGAGGTCTACGATTTTTTTTCTGAGGTCTTGGCTGATTTCTTTTGATTTTCCCATGATGTCAAGCAAAGAGGCACTGAGTTTGAAGGTAGGCCTTGAAATACATCCACCTCCAATTGACTCAAATGATGTCAATTAGCCTATCAGAAGCTTCTAAAGCCATGACATCATTTTCTGGATATTTTCCAAGCTGTTTAAAGGCACAGTCAACTTAGTGTATGTAAACTTCTGACCCACTGGAATTGTGATACAGTGAATTATAAGTGAAATAATCTGTCTGTAAACAATTGTTGGAAAAATTACTTGTGTCATACACAAAGTAGATGTCCTAACCGACTTGCCAAAACGATAGTTTGTTAACAAGAAATTTGTGGAGTGGTTGAAAAACAAGTTTTAATGACTCCAACCTAAGTGTATGTAAACTTCCGACTTCAACTGTACGTATCCAGGCTTGCACAACACAACAGAGTTTGCACACAGATTTAGTCTGGATTTGGAAGTCACACTCTCTCACATGCTAGCTCCCCCTCCCCTCTCCCCCTCCCTCCCTCCCCTCTCTCTCTCTCCCTCCCCTCTCTCTCTCTCCCTCCCCACTCTCCCTCCCCTCTCTGTCCCTCCCCACTCTCCATCCCCTCTCTCTCTCCCTCCACTCTCTCCCTCCCTCCTCTCCCTACACAGTACACACCACCATCTCTCATTCTATTTCTGTTTACAGACAATTCATATCTTCTGTATTCATCCACAGACACATGAGGCTGAATGACACAACATCCCTGCTTCATTCAGACCCTGAACTTGGTACCATGACAGTGCTGTAAAAGCTGACCAAGCAGTCTAGTAGACGCTACAGTAGGACTGTCTAACGTACGGCCCACTAGTAGACGCTACAGTAGGACTGTCTAACATACGGCCCACTAGTAGACGCTACAGTAGGACTGTCTAACGTACGGCCCACTGGTAGACGCTATAGTAGAACTGTCTAACGTACGGCCCACTGGTAGACGCTACAGTAGGACTGTCTAACATACGGCCCACTGGTAGACGCTACAGTAGCACTGTCTAACATATGGCCCACTGGTAGACGCTACAGTAGGACTGTCTAACGTACGGCCCACTGGTAGACGCTACAGTAGGACTGTCTAACGTACGGCCCACTGGTAGACGCTACAGTAGGACTGTCTAACGTACGGCCCACTGGTAGACGCTACAGTAGGACTGTCTAATGTACGGCCCACTGGTAGACGCTACAGTAGGACTGTCTAACGTACGGCCCACTAGTAGACGCTACAGTAGTAGACGCTACAGTAGGATTGTCTAACATACGGCCCACTGGTAGCGCTACAGTAGGACTGTCTAACATACGGCCCACTAGTAGAAGCTACAGTAGGACTGTCTAACGTACGGCCCACTGGTAGACGCTACAGTAGGACTGTCTAACATACGGCCCACTAGTAGACGCTACAGTAGGACTGTCTAACGTACGGCCCACTGGTAGACGCTACAGTAGGACTGTCTAACATACGGCCCACTGGTAGACGCTACAGTAGGACTGTCTAACGTACGGCCCACTGGTAGACGCTACAGTAGAACTGTCTAATATACGGCCCACTAGTAGACACAAATAAATATTTTTATTTTAAAAAACCAAATCATAACTATTTAGAAATGATAATGGACCTACATTTAGTCTCTTCACTCTGTCCAACTAGCTAACAGTCATCAAATGAAAGCTACATTTATAGACTCTTCACTCTGTCCAGCTTGCTAACAGTCATCAAAATGAAAGCTACATTTATAGTCTCTTCACTCTGTCCAGCTAGCTAACAGTCATCAAAATGATAGCTACATGTATAGTCTCTTCACTCTGTCCAGCTAGCTAACAGTCATCAAAATGAAAGCTACTGTACATTTAGTCTCTTCACTCTGTCCAGCTAGCTAACAGTCATCAAAATGAAAGCTACATTTATATAGTCTCTTCACTCTGTCCAGCTTGCTAACAGTCATCAAAATGAAAGCTACATTTATAGTCTCTTCACTCTGTCCAGCTAGCTAACAGTCATCAAAATGAAAGCTACATTTATAGTCTCTTCACTCTGTCCAGCTAGCTAACAGTAATCTAAATGAAAGATACTGTACATTTATAGTCTCTTCACTCTGTCCAGCTAGCTAACAGTCATCTAAATGAAAGCTAGACAGTCAGGGAGCATAGAAATTTCAAAAACCGATGGATAGAGGACATTTTGCACCTTTTGACGGCGAGAAAATATATACCAATTTTAAGGGCGGCCCTCCGGACCTTGGTGAAGACTGAATGCGGCCAGCGGGGCAAAATGAGTTTGACACCCAGTGCTAGAGCGGCGTTACTCACGGATTGCGGCAATTGTACTGCCAATAACATCAGCGACCTAACTTTTTAGTGCTTTAACTGTTTCACTGTAGGAGGAGATTATGGTTGGTTGTACACTGTCACCATGACAACACTGAGTATGGCTATGAATGTATTCCTGCACCTTTTTGAATATCCTCTGTGACTTCTCAGATGCCTTGATATAACTGAAGATGAAACAAACTCAAGGATATACATATATTTTGTATTTTATTCAACTTATTTCTGAAGATTTAATATAGAATGTTTACAGAATATTAAACCTTTTCTATGAAAGTAAGTTGATTTGTGTTCATGTGTCAAATTTGTTTGATGTTTTATTATCACTGTATAATAATAATCTGAATTTGAGGACAGACAGGATCGAATAGGCCTTCAACTTTAATGCAACAGCTCTGATGTCATTCACTTCCTGCTACTTTCTCTTTTCCTTCCACTCACCTTTACACTCAACTTTATCGCCACCTTGTGGAATGTGTGATGTGACATTGTTTTAATATTCTTCATGAAAAATTGCCTATAAAGCCTATTTGTCAAATTTGGTGTACTATTAAAGATATTGTCCAGACTGTGCCACATATAAGACGTGCCTCCATTAGCGTGTCTAGTCACTCACAACTCAGATTCTTGTCATGTCTTATCTGAGTCTTTTTTAACCTGACCAGTTTTTCCCCCCAAACAATATTCTGGTAAACACATAATACTGAAGACTGTGTCCAGTAAAAGCCCTGATCAGTCAAATATCAATTACTTGATAAATTACCTGATCAACTACCTGATCAATTATCTGATAAATGACCTAATCAATTATCTTATCAATGATCTGACCAATTACTTGATCAATTATCTGATCAATTACCTGATCAATTATCATCTTTGGCCTTTCAGTGACAGGCTCCTATGATGGATGGGGAAGTATGTTGGTAGCTTGAGGGTTGAAAGTAAATGGACTAATTCAACTTCATTTTTCACAGTTTCCTTCCCCCAACCTGGGCCAACCAGTGAAAGCCCTGACCACTCAATCATGTTGTCAATGATCTTCTTCAGTCTTTGGTGACAGACAACCATGGAGGCCCTGTTCAGTCTTTGGTGACAGTCTATCATGGAGGCCCTGTTCAGTCTGGTGACAGGTTACCATGGAGGCCCGTTCTCTTCCTTCTGTCATTGTTGACAACAGTTAGTGTATGTGAAGCACTTTGGAAGCTTGAGGGTTAAAAGTAAATGAACTTATTATTTTCAGTTTTTCACAGCTTGCTTCCTCCAACATGGCCCAACCTACATTTCCAAACACCCCACAATGCAAGCCAGAAAAAATGAGAAAAATATCATATAAAAAAATAGATATTTAAAATCGCAAAATGAACATTTTGTGTGCTGACCACCCTCTTTTTTTCACCAAACAACTCACCCTGACATACCAAGCTAAAACCGTTGCCTCTACATGACTGTGCGCTATATAGCCTACGACCCATGTCATTACCTGTGACCTGTAAATACCCAATCAGACCAGTTTAGATAAGAGTTAAACATTTCACTACACACGTTGTGATTCTCTCTCCTGAAGCCTTCGGTCAAAGGTCCCTCCAGTCGCCTCCTCTCTCCTGCTCTGTCCTGTCCTTCTGGGACCTCAAACCATGGCTCCTCACCTCCTCAGACAGCTCAGTGTGTTCTCTAGAAGGGCTTTGTTACAACCTCTACAGGTGGTCTCCTCTCTACAGAAGACATGGACACCTGGGAACCCAACCTGGCTCTGGTGTGGTAGGTAGGTTTTCTCTCTTGTCCTTGTCATACACACTACTCTCTTATCACAGCCTAGCTAATTTGGTGTTGGGTCCAAAGATTATCCACTGACAGTTAGACTATTTGGATTATTTCTCTGGTGCTTGTAGTTTCATCTCTTTATTCACCCTTATTCGGCAAACCACGTTTTATCTTTGATCTACCAACTGTAGAGTACAAGCTTAATGACCTGTATGTAACTGGCCTTATTTAGACTGAGGGTATGTCTTTCAATGCTTCCTTGTGAGATTTCCTTTTCAGAAACATGTTTTTTAATAATAAAATACGTTTTTACTTATAATAATATGCCATTTAGCAGACGCTTTTATCCAAAGCGACATACAATCATGCGTGCATACATTATAATTTTTTTGTGTATGGGTGGTCCCGGGGATCAAACCCACTACCTTGGCATTACACGCACTGTGCTCTACCAGCTGAGCTACAGAGGACTTGGATTGTCCAGCACAGCTTCTGCTTTGTCTTGTCTGTAAGGAACGGGGTTCAGTGTGGTTGTCTTGGCACTGAACATGTTTTTTCACATATCCATTAAGTCCAGTTTCCCCTCTGAAAGACTTCACGTCCTGTGACCTGATGGGAATAATATTGAGTGAGTGAGGTGGGGCATATTTCTTCTAACAGTGGTCTGCTGTTTATGTAGGCTCCCAACAGAACAGCCAAGAGAGGTCGACTATGAAACCACAGCCCACAGAACTCCACAGGAGGTCGGTTAAGGATCAGGGATGCAGGGGGTTCCTTTCTGTTGTTTGACTAACTCCAGTATTATATTGACATGTCATGGATAAAGTTCACCAACCCATCCCTGTCAGTTTCCACCCCCTGTGTGTCTCTCTCTGTATACACTGCCTTGCTAAAGTATTCATACCCCTTGGATTTCTTCACATTTTATTGTGTTACAAAGTGGGATTAAAATGGATTTAATTGTAATCTTTTGTCAGCAATCTACTCAAAATACTCTGTAATGTCAAAGTGGAAGAAAATATTAACATTTTTTAAAGATTAATAAAAATTAGATGACTAAAGTATAGTCATTGCATAAGTAGTCAGCCCCTTTGTTCAGGCAAGCCTAAATTAGTTCAGGAGTTTACTTTCGTAAACAAATAACATAAGTTACATGGACTCACTAATAATAGGGGTTGACATGATTTTTGAATGACTAACCCTTCCTCTGTCCCCCATACATACAACATCTGTAAGGTCCCTCAGTCAAGTATTGAATTTCAAGCACAGATTCAACTACAAAGACCAGGGAGCTTTTCGAAAGCCTTATAAAGAAGGGCAGCGATTGGTAGATGGGTAACAATAACAAATCAAACTTTGGATATCTCTTAAAGCAAGGTCAAGTTAATAATTATGCTGTGGATTATGTATTAAACCACCCAGACACATCAAAGCTACTGAACTGAGCTGAAGGACAGGAATGAAATCCTTTCCACATTCATAACACATATAACCCAGGCATATCACATTTAAAAGCAGTACACGTATGTGAGCTGTAGCTACGTCCACGGGACCTCCTCAGTGACCCTGCTGGGCATTTATGACGTCTTCATCATAATGTCTTATAAAGGCTTATAATACGTTATGTCTCTCCCTCAGCAGGTCGCTCCATGTGGACAGTCCCCCCCTGGTCCCGGCTGTGAGCTGCAGCTACGTCCATGGGGCGTCCTCAGTGTCCCTGCTGGGCCAGACGGTGGGTCAGAGTCTGCAGGCTGCAGCTGACCGCTGGCCCCACAGAGAGGCCCTGGTGTTCCTGCAAGACGGGGTCCGCAAGACCTTCGCCCAGTTTCAGGAGGATGTGAGTCTCCAGGGAACAGCTAGTCTCTTTCCACAGTGTGGGTGACACTAGGGAACACCCATTCTATATATTCACATCTAATCTGTTACATCACATTTGGATGCCATGAGTCCATTCCCTCCTTACACCCTTCTCACCCAAGAACATACATGTATGATCTGTCAGTGCATTTCTAATGGTCTTTTTAACTACATAGTGAAGTGTGGGATTGTAGAGGTTTAGGAGGGATAACATAACAGGATTGTAGAGGTTTAGGAGGGATAACATAACAGGATTGTAGAGGTTTAAGAGGGGTAACATAACAGGATTGTAGTGGTTTAGGAGGGATAACATAACAGGATTGTAGAGGTTTAGGAGGGATAACATAACAACAGGCATTATGTTTTGGACTTTGAAACCTACAGTAAGTCCAGTCAAAGTGGTGTTGTTGGTGGTGGTGGTTAAACATTTATATTGAAACATAACAAGGTGGGGTAACCTGCCAACTAGAACATCCATTATGGAACACTACATAAATCCAGAACAACGTTGATGTATTACCATCACAGTTCTAAGCATTTGATGACTGATGCTATGGCAAAGTCATATACACAAACATCTGTCTTTGTGCAGCTCTGGGCTTCTTTGAAAATAGGGATATCCTATATATTACTACCTGGGTCATGGTCTCCTTCCTCCCCCAGGTTGACCAGGCCGCTGCAGGTCTCCTGGCCCTGGGTCTGAAGAGAGGGGACAGACTAGGAGTCTGGGGGCCCAACACATACCACTGGATCCTGTTTCAGTTCGCCACAGCCAAGGCTGGCATCATACTGGTGAAGATGATCTATTAAATTAGATTCTAAAATGAATATGTATTATCTGTTAGGATCTATTGTTCCTAATATTAAAGCATTGTGATAACCTCTACAGGTGTCAATAAACCCAGCCTATCAGCTGAAGGAGCTGGAGTACACCCTGAGGAAGGTATGTTCTTATCCAGTGTCATGTTGTTTTATATTTCCAGATTTGAATTTCAATACACTTCCTGGATTGACCAAATGAATAACTGAACTGATCCCGACCCTGGTGCTGTCTGTGTCCTTTCCAGTTTAAGACCAAGAGGTTCTGTTCTGTCTGTCTCTGTAGGTGCAGTGTAAAGCTGTGGTGTGTCCCACCCAGTTTAAGACCCAGAGGTTCTGTGACATGCTGAGACAGATCTGCCCAGAGATGGACACAGCAGAGTCAGGGGTCTTTAGGAGCTCCAGGTATGTTAATATTGTACTATTGCACCATGAGTGAATCAACAGACCGGTATGTTAATGTTGTACGACTGCACCATGAGTGAATCAACAGACATATTGTATTACTGCACCATGAAGTAAACAAGTAACTAGCAGGATACTAATAATCATAGATATAGAACCCTGAACGTACAGCGCCTTCGGAAACAATTCAGACCCCTTGACGTTTTCCACATTTTGTTATGTTACAGCCTTATTCTAAAATGGATTAAATAAATAAAAATCAGCGATCTACACACAATACCCTATAATGACAAAGTGAAAACAGGTTTTTGGAAATTTTTGCAAATGTATTAAAAATAAAAAACAGAAATACCTTATTTACATAAGTATTCAGACCCTTTGCTATCAGACTCGAAATTGAGCTCAGGTGCATCCTGTTTCCATTGATCATCCTTGAGATGTTTCTACAACTTGATTGGAGTCCACCTGTGGTAAAAAAAAAAAAAAAGGTACCACAGTTAACAGTGCATGTCAGAGCAGAATCCAAGACATGAGGTTGAAGGAATTGTCCGTAGAGCTCCGAGACAGGGTTGTGTCAAAGGGTACAGATCTGGGGAAGGGTACCTAAAAATGTCTGCAGCATTGAAAGTCCCCAAGAACACAGTGGCCTCCATCATTCTTAAATAGAAGAAGTTTGGAACCACCAAGACTCTTCCCAGAGCTGGCCGCCTGGCCAAATTGAGGAATCGGGTGAGAAGGGCCTTGGTCAAGGAGGTGACCAAGAACCCGAACGTCACTCTGACAGAGCTCTAGAGTTCCTCTGTGGAGATGGGAGAACCTTCCAGAAGGACAACCATCTCTGCAGCACTCCACCAATCAGGCCATTATGGTAGAGTGGCCAGACAGAAGCCACTCCTCAGTAAAAGGCACATGACAGCCCGCTTGGAGTTTGCCAAAAGGCACCTAAAGACTCTCAGACCATGAGAAACAAGATTTTCTGGTCTGTTGAAACCAAGATTGAACTCTTTGGCCTGAATGCCAAGCGTCACGTCTGGAGGAAACCTGGCACCATCCCTACGGTGAAGCATGGTGTTAGCAGCATCTTGCTGTGGGGATGTTTTTCAGCGACAGGGACTGGGAGACTAGTCAGGATCGAGGGAAAGATGAATGAAGCAAAGTATAGAGAGATCCTTGATGAAAACCTGCTGTAGAGCGCTCAGGACCTCAGACTGGGACGAAGGTTCACTTTCCAACAGGACAATGACCCTAAGCACAAAGCCAAGACAACGCAGGAGTGGCTTCAGGACAAGTCTCTGAATGTTCTTAAGTGGCCCAACCAGAGCCCGGACTTGAACCTGATCGAACATCTCTGGAGAGACCTGCAAATAGCTGTGAAGCAACGCTCCCCATCTAACCTGACAGAGTTTGAGAGGATATGCGGAGAAGAATGGGAAAAACTTCCCAAATACAGGTGTGCCAAGCTTGTAGCATCATACCCAAGAAGATTCAAGGCTGTAATCGCTGCCAATGGAGTTTCATCAAAGTTAAGGGTCTGAATACTTTTTTTATTTTATTTTTTATTTCACCTTTATTTAACCAGGTAAGCCAGTTGAGAACAAGTTCTCATTTACAACTGCGACCTGGCCAAGATAAAGCAAAGCAGTGCGATAAAAACAACAACACAGAGTTACATATGGGGTAAAACAAAACATAAAGTCAAAAATACCACAGAAAATATATATACAGTGTGTGCAAATGTAGAAAGTTATGGAGGTAAGGCAATAAATAGGCCATAATAGGCCAAAATAATTACAATTAGTATTAACACTGGAATGATAGATGTGCAAGAGATGATGTGCAAATAGAGATACTGGGGTGCAAATGAGCAAAATAAATAACAATATGGGGATGAGGTAGTTGAGTGGGCTAATTTCAGAAGGGCTGTGTACAGGTGCAGTGATCGGTAAGGTGCTCTGACAACTGATGCTTAAAGTTAGTGAGCGAGATAAGTCTCCAGCTTCAGAGATTTTTGCAGTTCGTTCCAGTCATTGGCAGCAGAGAACTGGAAGGAATAGCGGCCAAAGGAGGTGTTGGCTTTGGGGATGACCAGTGAGATATACCTGCTGGAGCGCATACTACGGGTGGGTGTTGCTATGGTGACCAATGAGCTAAGATAAGGCAGAGATTTGCCTAGCAGTGATTTATAGATGGCCTGGAGCCAGTGGGATTGGCGACTAATATGTAGTGAGGACCAGCCAACAAGAGCATACAGGTCACAGTGGTGGGTAGTACAGTGGGGGAAAAAAGTATTTAGTCAGCCACCAATTGTGCAAGTTCTCCCACTTAAAAAGATGAGAGAGGCCTGTAATTGTCATCATAGGTACACGTCAACTATGACAGACAAATTGAGAATTTTTTTTCCAGAAAATCACATTTTAGGATTTTTAATGAATTTATTTGCAAATTATGGTGGAAAATAAGTATTTGGTCACCTACAAACAAGCAAGATTTCTGGCTCTCACAGACGTGTAACTTCTTCTTTAAGAGGCTCCTCTGTCCTCCACTCGTTACCTGTATTAATGGCACGTGTTTGAACTTGTTATCAGTATAAAATACACCTGTCCACAACCTCAAACAGTCACACTCCAAACTCCATTATGGCCAAGACCAAAGAGCTGTCAAAGGACACCAGAAACAAAATTGTAGACCTGCACCAGGCTGGGAAGACTGAATCTGCAATAGGTAAGCAGCTTGGTTTGAAGAAATCAACTGTGGGAGCAATTATTAGGAAATGGAAGACATACAAGACCACTGATAATCTCCCTCGATCTGGGGCTCCACGCAAGATCTCACCCCGTGGGGTCAAAATGATCACAAGAACGGTGAGCAAAAATCCCGGAACCACACGGGGGGACCTAGTGAATGACCTGCAGAGAGCTGGGACCAAAGTAACAAAGCCTACCATCAGTAACACACTACGCAGCCAGGAACTCAAATCATGCAGTGCCAGACGTGTCCCCCTGCTTAAGCCAGTACATGTCCAGGCCCGTCTGAAGTTTGCTAGAGTGCATTTGGATGATCCAGAAGAGGATTGGGAGAATGTCATATGGTCAGATGAAACCAAAATATAACTTTTTGGTAAAAACTCAACTCGTCGTGTTTGGAGGACAAAGAATGCTGAGTTGCATCCAAAGAACACCATACCTACTGTGAAGCATGGCGGTGGAAACATCATGCTTTGGGGCTGTTTTTCTGCAAAGGGACCAGGACGACTGATCCGTGTAAAGCAAAGAATGAATGGGGCCATGTATCGTGAGATTTTGAGTGAAAACGTGGCTGGGTCTTTCAGCATGACAATGATCCCAAACACACCGCCCGGGCAACGAAGGAGTGGCTTCGTAAGAAGCATTTCAAGGTCCTGGAGTGGCCTAGCCAGTCTCCAGATCTCAACCCCATAGAAAATCTTTGGAGGGAGTTGAAAGTCCGTGTTGCCCAGCGACAGCCCCAAAACATCACTGCTCTAGAGGAGATCTGCATGGAGGAATGGGCCAAAATACCAGCAACAGTGTGTGAAAACCTTGTGAAGACTTTCAGAAAACGTTTGACCTGTGTCATTGCCAACAAAGGGTATATAACAAAGTATTGAGAAACTTTTGTTATTGACCAAATACTTATTTTCCACCATAATTTGCAAATAAATTCATTAAAAATCCTACAATGTGATTTTCTGGATTTTTTTTCCTAATTTTGTCTGTCATAGTTGACGTGTACCTATGATGAAAATTACAGGCCTCTCTCATCTTTTTAAGTGGGAGAACTTGCACAATCGGTGGCTGACTAAATACTTTTTTCCCCACTGTATATGGGGCTTTGGTGACAAAACGGATGGCACTGTGATAGACTACATCCAATTTGCTGAATAGAGTGTTGGAGGCTATTTTGTAAATGACATCGCCGAAGTCAAGGATCGGTAGGATAGTCAGTTTTACGAGGACATAATTGGCAGCATGAATGAAGGAGGCTTTGTTGCGAAATAGGAAGCCGATTCTAGATTTAACTTTGGATTGGAGATGCTTAATGTGAGTCTGGAAGGAGAGTTTACAGTCTAACCAGACACCTAGGTATTTGTAGTTGTCCACATACTCTAGGTCAGACCCGTCGAGAGTAGTGATTCTAGTCAGGTGGGCGGGTGCCAGCAGCGTTCGATTGAAGACCATGATCTCGCCATCACGGTTGACAACTCCGTTGTGTCCTCCTCCCAGAGTGCGAAGAGCCTTGGCGTGACCCTGGACAACACCCTGTCGTTCTCCGCTAACATCAAGGCGGTGACCCGATCCTGTAGGTTCATGCTCTACAACATTCGGAGAGTACGACCCTGCCTTACACAGGAAGCGGCACAGGTCCTAATCCAGGCACTTGTCATCTCCCGTCTGGATTACTGCAACTCGCTGTTGGCTGGGCTCCCTGCCTGTGCCATTAAACCCCTACAACTCATCCAGAATGCCGCAGCCTGTCTGGTGTTCAACCTTCCCAAGTTCTCTCACGTCAACCCGCTCCTCCGCACACTCCACTGGCTTCCAGTTGAAGCTCGCATCTGCTACAAGACCATGGTGCTTGCCTACGGAGCTGTGAGGGGAACGGCACCTCCGTACCTTCAGGCTCTGATCAGTCCCTACACCCAAACGAGGGCACTGCGTTCATCCACCTCTGGCCTGCTGGCTCCCCTACCTCTGCGGAAGCATAGTTCCCGCTCAGCCCAGTCAAAACTGTTCGCTGCTCTGGCACCCCAATGGTGGAACAAGCTCCCTCACGACGCCAGGACAGCGGAGTCACTCAACACCTTCCGGAGACATTTGAAACCCCACCTCTTTAAGGAATACCTGGGATAGGATAAAGTAATCATTCTATCCCCCGCTCTTACTCCAACCCAACCCCCCCCCCCCCCCCCCCAAAAAAAAAAGTAATAAAATATATTGTAAAGTGGTTATCCCACTGGCTATAAGGTGAATGCACCTATTTGTAAGTCGCTCTGGATAAGAGCGTCTGCTAAATGACGTAAATGTAAGAGCATGCATTTAGTTTTACTAGTGTTTAAGAGCAGTTGGAGGCTACTGAAGGAGTGTTGTATGGCATTGAAGCTCATTTGGAGGTTTGTTAACACAGTGTCCAATGAAGGGCCAGATGTATACAAAATGGTGTCGTCTGCGTAGAGGTGGATCTCAGAGTCACCAGCAGCAAGAGCGACATCATTGATATACGCGGAGAAAAGAGTCGGCCCAAGAATTAAACCCTGTGGCACCCCCATAGAGACTGCCATAGGTCCAGACAACAGGCCCACCGATTTGACACATTGAACTCTATCTGAGAAGTAGTTGGTGAACCAGGCGAGGCAGTCATTTGAGAAACCAAGGCTATTTAGTCTGCCAATAAGAATGCGGTGGTTGACAGAGTCGAAAGCCTTGGCCAGGTCGATGAAGATGGCTGCACAGTACTGTCTATTATCAATCGCGGTTATAATATCATTTAAGACCTTGAGCGTGGCTGAGGTGCACCCATGACCAGCTCGGAAACCGGATTGCATAGCGGAGAAGGTACGGTGGGATTCGAAATGGTCGGTGATCTGTTTGTTAACTTGGCTTTCAAAAACTTTTGAAAGGCAGGGCAGGATGGATATAGGTCTGTAACAGTTTGGATCTAGAGTGTCACCCCCTTTGAAGAGGGGGATGACCGCGGCAGCTTTCCAGTCTGTAGGGGTCCAGATTTTGCAGCTCTTTCAGAACATCAGCTGTCTGAATTTGTGTGAAGGAGAAGCGGGGGGGGGGGGGGGGGGGGGGGGGGGGGGGGGGGGGGGGGCAAAATGCTTGTTGAAATTCTCGATTATTGTAGATTTATCGGTGGTGATACTGTTTCCTAGCCTCAGTGCAGTGGGCAGCTGGGAGGAAGTGCTCTTATTCTCCATGGACTTGACAGTGTCCCAAAACTGGAGTTAGTGCTACAGAATGCAAATTTCTGTTTGAAAAAGCTAGCCTTTGCTTTCCTAACTGCTTGTGTATATTGGTTCCTAACTTCCCTGAAAAGTTGCATATCGCGGGGGCTATTCGATGCTAATGCAGTACGCCACAGGATGTTTTTGTGCTGGTCAAGGGCAGTCAAGTCTGAGGAGAACAAGGGGCTATATCTGTTCTTAGTTCAGAATTTTTTGAATGGGGCATGCTTATTTAAGATTGAGAGGAAAGCACTTTTAAAGAACAACCAGGCATCCTCTACTGACGGAATGAGATCCATATCCATCCAGGATACCTGGGCCAGGTCAATTAGGAAGGACTGCTCGCTAATGTGTTTTAGGGAGCATTTGACAGTGATGAGGGGTGGTTGTTTGACCGCGGACCCGTTACGGACGCAGGCAATAAGGCAGTGATCGCTGAGATCCTGGTTGAAGACAGCGGAGGTGTATTTAGAGGGTAAGTTAGGATGATATCTATGAGGGTGCCCATGTTTACGGATTTAGGGTTGTACCTGGTAGGTTCCTTGATAATTTGTGTGAGATTGAGGGCATCTAGTTTGGATTGTAGGATGGCCGGGGTGTTAAGCATATCCCAGTTTAGGTCACCAATCAGTATGCACTCTGAGGATAGATGGGGGGCAATCAATTCATATATGGTGTCCAGGGCACAGCTGGGGGCTGATGGGGGGGCTGTAGCAAGCAGCAACAGTGAGAGACTTATTTCTGGAAAGGTGGATTTTTAGAAGTAGGAGCTCAAACTGTTTGGGCACAGACCTGGATAGTATGATAGAGCTCTGCAGGCTATCTCTACAGTAGATTGCAACTCCACCCCCTTTGGCAGTTCTATCTAGACGGAAAATGTTGTAGTTGGGGATGGACATTTCTGAATTTTTGGTGGCCTTCCTAAGCCAGGATTCAGACACTGCTAGAACATCAGGGTTGGCGGAGTGTGCTAACGCAGTGAATAACTCAAACTTAGGAAGGAGGCTTCTGATGTTAACGTGTAGAAAACCAAGGCTTTTACGGTTACAGAAGTCAACAAATGATAACTCTTGGGGAGTAGGAGTGATACTGGGGGCTGCAGGGCCTGGGTTAGCCTCTACATCACCAGAGGAACAGAGGAGGACTAGAATAAGGAAACGGCTAAAGGCTTTAAGAACTGGTCTTCTAGTGCGTTGGGTACAGAGAATAAAGGGGGCAGATTTCCGGGCGTTGTAGAATAGAGTCAGGGCATTATGTACAGATAAGGATATGAAAGGATATGAGTACAGTGGAGGTAAACCTAAGCGTTGGGTAACAATGAAAGAGATAGCATCACTGGAGGCACCGATTGAGCCGGTCTCGGCGTGTATGGGGGGTGGAACAAAGGAGCTATTTGAGGCAGTTTGAGAATGACTTGGGGTTCTATATTGAAATTGTATAATAAGAACTAACTGGAACAGCAATAGGCAAGGCATATTGACATGGGAGAGAGGCATAAAGCAATCACAGGTGTTATTAGAGAGAGCTAAGACAACAACTGGTAATGGCGATGAAAGTTTGGGCTGAGGCTAAACAGATAAACAGGACAGGGTACCGTGTAAAGGAACAGTCCAGCAGGCATCAGCTGTGCAGCTGAGTAATCATAAGGTCCAGTGAACAGCAATATGTGAGTCCGAGAGCAGTTCGAATTGGTGCTAAAGCACAGCGAGCAGGAAGCACGGCTGTTGTTTGCGTGTGCTAGCGGGCCTGTGCTAGCAGATGGATCTTCGTGGTCGTCGCAACGGGAAGCCTGTTGAAACCACAGATGATTACGTCGGCAGACCAGTCGTGATGGATCGGCGGGGCTCTGTGTTGACTCTAGGAGGTCCCGTCCGGTTGACAGAGAGGTAGATAGCCGGGAGATGTGCCTGACTCGAGGCTAGCTCAAGGCTGATTAGCCAACAACAACATCCAGTTGGTTGCAGCTAGCTAGTTGCGATGATCAGGTATTAAAGGTCCAGTGATTTAGTGATTCCGGCAGAAAATCCGATATGTTCTGGGTCGATAACGCGCTGTGCAGACAGTGCAGACTGGCTGATAATAGTCCAGGCTAGAGCTGGCTGGTAGGTAGTGCAAACCACGGACAATGGTGAAAAACCGCTAACGGTGGCTAATAACAAGTAGCTAGTTAGCTGGCTCCTCCCGTCCGGTAGACAAAGAGGTAGATAGCCGGGATATGGGCCTGGCTCAAGGCTAACTGGTGCTTGCTTCGGGGGAAGTGGTGATTAGCCTACTGCAACATCCATTCGGTTGTGGCTAGCTAGTTGCGATCCGGTGTTAGGGTCCAGTGATTCAGTTATTCCGGCAGAAAATCCGATGTTCTGGGTGAAAACCGCTAACAGTGGCTAATAGCAAGTAGCTAGTTAGCTGGCTAGCTAGTTTCAACTGGAGATGCTAGATAAAGGTGAGTAAATATATAGAATCTGTTTCACATTGAGTGAGGCGGGTTGCAGGAAAGTATATTTAGTAGAAGGATGAAAAGTGTGATAGGGAAATATGTACGAAAAATACAAAAAAATAGGCTATTTACACGGACACACAACAAAGAACACGACCGCACTGCTACGCCATCTTGGATATGCGCTGTAAATGTGGTCTGTGGCTAACATACTTATAGCCATGGTAGAGATCCTATTAAATTACTGGAAGGGGTATGTCATAAACCCTCAAAGTTCCAGAATGATAATGGCAGCCATTTTGGTCAGGGACAAATCCAAACCAGTCTAATTGGAATGAATGTCAGTAGAGACATAGGTGATGCACTTCCTGCTTTTACTGATGCAGGAACATTACATTTACATTTGAGTCATTTAGCAGACGCTCTTATCCAGAGTGACTTACATGAGCAATTAGGGTTAAGTGCCTTGCTTAAGGGCACATCAACAGATTTTTCACCTAGTCGGCTCGGGGATTTGAACCAGCAACCTTTCGGTTACTGGCACAAAGCTCTTACCCACTAAGCTACCTGCCGCCCGACATAAAAATAAGTAATGTGATACTGTATATCACAAATGGTGTAATATAATTATTGGCTCATGTAAAACCCAGTAAAAGGGATACACTGGAATTATACTGAATTGACTCTGAATAATAAATATTACCACTGGTGGATGTCTATGTACCTGTAACTGTAAATGGAACCAACCTCATTGCCTGTGTATGGTGATGATGACAGACAGCAGACAGACAGGGACAGTAGAGGACCTAATGAAGGTTGTTACTGTAATGTTACTGTAATGTAACTGTCATTGTGTTCCTGTAATGTTAGCCTACTGTGTTCCTCCTGCCAGGCTACCAGACCTGTGTATGGTGATAGTGTCAGACAGCAGACAGACAGGGACTGTACATGTAGAGGACGTGATGCAGGCTGGAAGCAGACAGCACCACCAGGAGCTGCAGGACCTGCAGACCAAACTGTCCTTCGACGACCCCATCAACATACAGTTCACATCTGTAGGTATCCTTTTGAAAAAAATAAGAATACTTTGGGCCTGGTTTCCTGGACACAGATTAAGACTAGTCTTGGACTAAGAAGCACTTTCCATAGTGATCTCCATTGAACATGATTGTTAGTCTAGGACTAGGCTTACTCTGTGTCTGGGAAACCAGCCTTTACACACCTCCACACACCCTGAGGGAATGGAAGAACAGGATCAGCTGCAGTGCAGCGCCCCTGGAGCAGTAATACTGTACTACGCAGTGCACACATCATATCAATACATGATTATCAACACAATATGTAATTACCCTAACCTGCACACAAAAACAATCAACAGGTATTCATTGTTTATGTCTGAGTATTAGCCTGTCTCTCTGATGTCTACTGGTCTGTAGGGAACAACAGTATTCGTCTGTCTGATGTCTACTGGTCTGTAGGGAACAACAGTATTAGTCTGTGTGATGTCTACTGGTCTGTAGGGAACAACAGTATTAGTCTGTCTGATGTCTACTGGTCTGTAGGGAACAACAGTATTAGTCTGTCTGATATCTACTGGTCTGTAGGGAACAACAGTATTAGTCTGTCTGATGTCTACTGGTCTGTAGGGAACAACAGTATTAGTCTGTCTGATCAAATCAAATCAAATCAAATTTTATTGGTCACATGCGCCGAATACAACATGTGCAGACATTACAGTGAAATGCTTACTTACAGCCCTTAACCAACAGTGCATTTATTTTAAACAAAAAAAGTAAAAATAAAACAACAACAAAAAAAGTGTTGAGAAAAAAAAGAGCAGAAGTAAAATAAAGTGACAGTAGGGAGGCTATATATACAGGGGGGTACCGTTGCAGAGTCAATGTGCGGGGGCACCGGCTAGTTGAGGTAGTTGAGGTAATATGTACATGTGGGTAGAGTTAAAGTGACTATGCATAAATACTTAACAGAGTAGCAGCAGCGTAAAAAGGATGGGGTGGGGGGGCAGTGCAAATAGTCCGGGTAGCCATGATTAGCTGTTCAGGAGTCTTATGGCTTGGGGGTAGAAGCTGTTGAGAAGTCTTTTGGACCTAGACTTGGCACTCCGGTACCGCTTGCCGTGCGGTAGCAGAGAGAACAGTCTATGACTAGGGTGGCTGGAGTCTTTGACAATTTTGAGGGCCTTCCTCTGACACCGCCTGGTATAGAGGTCCTGGATGGCAGGAAGCTTTGCCCCAGTGATGTACTGGGCCGTACGCACTACCCTCTGTAGTGCCTTGCGGTCGGAGGCCAAGCAGTTGCCATACCAGGCGGTGATGCAACCAGTCAGGATGCTCTCAGTGGTGCAGCTGTAGAATTTTTTGAGGATCTGAGGACCCATGCCAAATCTTTTTAGTCTCCTGAGGGGGAATAGGCTTTGTCGTGCCCTCTTCACGACTGTCTTGGTGTGTTTGGACCATGATAGTTCGTTGGTGATGTGGACACCAAGGAACTTGAAGCTCTCAACCTGTTCCACTACAGCCCCGTCGATGAGAATGGGGGCGTGCTCAGTCCTCTTTTTTTTCCTGTAGTCCACAATCATCTCCTTTGTCTTGGTCACGTTGAGGGAGAGGTTGTTGTCCTGGCACCACACGGCCAGATCTCTGACCTCCTCCCTATAGGCTGTCTCATCGTTGTCGGTGATCAGGCCTACCACTGTTGTGTCGTCGGGTCTGTAGGGAACAACAGTATTAGTCTGTCTGATGTCTACTGGTCTGTAGGGAACAACAGTATTAGTCTGTCTGATGTCTACTGGTCTGTAGGGAACAACAGTATTAGTCTGTCTCTCTGATGTCTACTGGTCTGTAGGGAACAACAGTATTAGTCTGTCTGATGTCTACTGGTCTGTAGGGAACAACAGTATTAGTCTGTCTCTCTGATGTCTACTGGTCTGTAGGGAACAACAGTATTAGTCTGTCTGATGTCTACTGGTCTGTAGGGAACAACAGTATTAGTCTGTCTGATGTCTACTGGTCTGTAGGGAATAACAGTATTAGTCTGTCTGATGTCTACTGGTCTGTAGGGAACAACAGTATTAGTCTGTCTGATGTCTACTGGTCTGTAGGGAACAACAGTATTAGTCTGTCTGATGTCTACTGGTCTGTAGGGAACAACAGTATTAGTCTGTCTGATGTCTACTGGTCTGTAGGGAACAACAGTATTAGTCTGTCTGATGTCTACTGGTCTGTAGGGAACAACAGTATTAGTCTGTCTGATGTCTACTGGTCTGTAGGGAACAACAGTATTAGTCTGTCTGATGTCTACTGGTCTGTAGGGAACAACAGTATTAGTCTGTCTGATGTCTACTGGTCTGTAGGGAACAACAGTATTAGTCTGTCTGATGTCTACTGGTCTGTAGGGAACAACAGTATTAGTCTGTCTGATGTCTACTGGTCTGTAGGGAACAACAGTATTAGCCTGTCTGATGTCTACTGGTCTGTAGGGAACAACAGTATTAGCCTGTCTCTCTGATGTCTACTGTTGTTTAGGGAACAACAGGAAGTCCTAAAGGTGCCACCCTCTCCCACCATAACATCGTCAACAATGCCTATTTCGTAGGTCTACGGATGGGATTCAACTGGAGGGTCAGTGGATCCATGTAGACACATTCTCACATTCTCACATTCTCTCTCTCTCTCGCGCATGCTTGCTCATTTGCGTGCGCACACACACACACACACACACACACACACACACACACACACACACACACACACACACACACACACACACACACACACACACACACACACACACAGCTCTCTGTTAACCTTCGTATTACCTGCTTCTCCCTCAGACTATAAGAGTGTGTGTTCCTGTTCCTCTGTACCACTGCTTTGGCTCAGTGATAGGAGGGATGTGTATGGCACTGCATGGCATCACCCTGGTCTTCCCCTCTGCTGGGTACGACAGCCGTGCCAACCTGGAGGCCATCCAGAATGAAAGGTAGGTCTTATACCCTGAGACTAACCTAGAGGCTATTCAGAATGAAAGGTATGGTATATAGTAATGTCCACTAGGGGGCCCCGTGACTCTTGACCAGGGGAGAACAATTGCCCATCTCACTGAAGCCATGAAGTTCAAGGCTGACTGCGGTACTGCAGGCATTGTTATTGTGAAAAGGAAAATGTCAATCTTCGTGTAAATAAAAATCATGGTGCCAATAATTGTTTCTATTAAACCAGATTTATGTCCTTGAACCAATTATTTTAAAAATCGTACACACAGAAGTTATAAGGATTTAGTTGCTAATGGCAGCCTGTAGTACCCCGGTCGGCCTTCAACTTGAGAGACTCAATGAGAGGGAGCAGCACTGAGCTGGCCAGCAATGTCACCTCCTGGAGTAGCTCAAACTGTGCATGTTATGTATCCATGAGACGCCATCTTAACCAACTTTATTTGGCTTCAGATGCGTTATTGAGTCTTCACATAGGAATGAATGGTGTCACGTGATCGATGGCTTTGTCCATTCATATACAGTCATTGATCTTGATTCATGCCAAAGGAACTCAGCATCAATAGTATGGGGATACCACTAAAGGAACTCAGCATCAATAGTATGGGGATACCACTAAAGAAACTCAGCATTAATGGTATGGAGATACCACTAAAGAAACTCAGTATTAATAGAATGGGGATACCACCAAAGGAACTCAGCATTAATAGTATGGTGATACCACTAAAGAAACTAAGCATTAATAGTATGGGGATACCACTAAAGGAACTCAGCATTAATAGTATGGAGATACGACTAAAGGAACCAATGATGTGCAGTGCATTCGGAAGGTATTCAGACCCCTTGACTTTTTCCACATTTTGTTAAGTTACAGCTTTATTCTAAAACTGATTAAATAGTTTGTTTTTCTCATCAATCTACACATAGTACCCCATAATGACAAAGCAAAAATAGGTTTTTAAAAATGTTTGCAAATGTATTAAAAATATCAC